GTTTGGGAGACGAGCCCACACGGCTGTAGCTGGGGCACCCAGAAGCGTCCCGACCGTTGGACGAATGATGTCTGAGTACTAACTTGAGCCGCTCGTGGTGACCCAACGAGGGAGGCAGCGAGCCCATGAGTACCAACAGATGGGCTCGGGAACTATACGAGTCGCTCGGTTGGGAAGCCAAGGATCTCCCCTCTAGGGGACTTGACCGGGGCACGGAACGACTGTAAACCTTGGATTCTCATAGACTTACCCGCTAGCAGCATGGGCGTGGTGATCTTGGCCAATGAGGCCATCATCGTAACATCCTAGCCCAATGAGGGATCAAGTCTCTAAGCACAACTCAAGAGCAAAATAGGATTACACATGAAAGTAATTTCATTTCATTGATTGGGAACGACCCGATTACAATATACGGCGGTAAAAACCGCAACCTCGAGCCCATCTACACCACTGTCCCAACCTTGGACTAGGTCGCGTTTAGGGCCGTGCAATTCAATGACAAGCGCGGGGAAGCTCAGGTGCCACTCTCCTGACTCGGAAGTCGGGAACACCCACGCAGCAGCAGTGACAACGAAGGGAGAACCAGAGGAGGAGAGCTGGGCCTTGGCCGTGTCCTCTCCCTCGGGCTCTGGCTTTACCTCGGGCGGTGATCCCTGCCACACGCGGGGTGCTCTTCCTCTGATAAAGAGGGATGCCCCAGTGATCCACATCGCTGGGGGTTCTTTGACCCTCCAGAGGAAGATGGTATGGGAGAACCACAGCTGCACCCACGATCGGGGAAGTGCCAAGGGTGGTAGCGCTCGAGGGAAGGATAACCTCCCTCGACGCTGACCCTCACCCTCCTCCATGCACCACCGCGGTCTTCCCCTCACTAGATTCCTTCCACCCTCGAAGAAGCAGTCGCCTAGCGGACAACACCAAGCTCACTCGGAGGGAAGCATCGCACTTCATCGCCACCGCCGTCGCCGCTGAAGAAGATGGATCTGAGAAGAAGAAGAGAGGGGGCAGAGAAAGGGATTAGAGATGTCGCATCCCCTAGGGGCCTCCCTTTATAGCAAAAGGCGGTGTGCTTCGAGCGGCTCTGGGCCCTCCGATCAGCCATCAGTGGCTAGAAAGGATCCTAGGGAACCGGCTAGGCATCCCTTCAATCCCTATAGCACACCTCAGGGTGGTTGCATGGTGACAAGCTGTGCAATAAAGGCAGAGTCAGGGAACCGCTAACAATGAGTCAAGTCCTCGCTCCACTTTCCACCACACACACCGCCCACTCCTGCATGCACGCCTCCTCGTGGGACTTGGGGGGATCCGCCTCTCCCCGGGCCCACCTGCTACCATCGACGGCCTGGATCCACGAGCGCCAAGCACCGTGGTTCCTCCTCTGCCAGTTCTGCTCCATGTGGCCCCATCGTTCCATCTCCTAGACAAGATGGGACGGTGCGGGGGTGCATGCCTTAACTCCTCCACCAGGCATGATGGTCCAAACACCATCAACCGCCTGTGCAAGACATAAGTGGACAGGACATGCCTAGAAGCCACTCCTTCCGCTAGCAAGAAGGCCCCACAATGGCCTCGGGGGCTATGCCGGCTCCCCAGACAGAGCAGCCCGAACCCCTAATCAACTAGCACTCGGGTGGTGCATCCCCCAAAAAACCAACCAACTCCCTGGAATTGGGTCGGGAGCCGCTAAGTGGTGGGCCCGACAAGGGCCTCCATCCGAGCCTCGATGCACCCCGACTCCCCAATCTATGGCTGCAGAGGGTCAGCCCTAGAAGGCTGGCTTAAGAGGATCAGGATCTGCTATCGTAGCCCTCAAAGGGCATGGAGCTCTGGATGATCAGATGGCCCCAAGCTAGAGCCCAGCACTCTTGATTACCCAACCCACGGCAGGCTCTCGATCAAAAAGGAGGGCGCCCCCTAGCCTATAGTCGATGACTCCTAGACGAGTTTGCCGAGCTCTCGCTCAAGTCGAAGACCTGTGCGACATAGACTCATGAGGGAATCAGCTCCATCTTCGCTTACCCTTGATAGCCGAGCACCATCCATCACACTAGAGAAGAAGGCCCCAAGTAGGGCACAACACTCTCACCAACGGAAGCCATCCCCGCTAAGGAGGGTTCAATCACTAGAAGATCGAATTCATCCCTTCGTCGCCATCATGCTAGGTGAGGCCACGAAGGGCTCAGGGGCTCCTGACGAGATCCTAACAAATAGGTATACCCACCGATCAACGCCTTCAGGATCGCTCGAGGGCTATGCCCATCGGGTACGCTCGCGCGAACCCTCTAGCAAAGAGATCCGCCCAAGCCTAACTCGATCGCAGCTTCTGGCTGTGGCTCTGGGGGCTTCCTCGAGCCTTGGGCTCCTGATCTATGGCACCTCTGAGCCCGGCCCTTGGCTCCTGCCTAGCTAACAATGCCAGCCAAGGCCTAGACACAAGAAGACAAGCCCCAAGATACCGTTGCTCGAGGGCTCCCTAGTGCCGCTCCCTAGGAGTGCCCCTGCCAACTGCTCCTCTAACAGGGTCATATCCGGGGCATGACACAAGAAGACAAAACTTCCCATGGCCTCTGGGGCTCGGGGGCTTCCAGGCCCGCATGTCAGCCCCTAGAGCCAACCTCCTTCGCCACTAAGAAGACTCCAAAAGGTCTCATCCGGGGAGGCCGGTCCATGGTGACACCGCTTGACACGCAGAGTGTCAAAATAGAGCAGCCAGACGATGCCCAGGCTTCTTCAGCTCCAAGACACCTCGACGGTCCATGGCGCACCGTTGCAAGACCCTCCTAGACTCCGGCGCATGTAGACCATAGACTAGAACCCCCAAACCACCATGTACCTAACCTATCTCGTTATATAAGGGATAAGGTCAGACCTAGGAGGGTGAGGATACTGATTCGATCATAAGACACTCCATTCCATTCATCTATCTCTGCTCTTCACCGAGAGCAAGGCAACCTAGAGAGGGGCACCTAGATCTCCTCCTCCACCGCATCTCATGGTCTCCTTCCTCTCTGACAAGGTGGAGACTCCACCGGTGGTGAGGCAACCTTAGGATTAGCACCAAGCTAACCCTTACCAAATCTTCTTCCTTTACACTCTGTTGTAACCCCCCATATTTTGGGTGCTCTTGAGTATAAGGATTATCAACTGCTGGACATAGGGACTGAATTGGCCCGAGCCAGGATAAACCATTGCATCTTCTCTACATGATTCTTGTGTTCTTGAGTCCACCCGAGCCACCAAAGACCCCGTACTCTGACACTAACTCGAACAACATGCTTGACGTGGTTTTGACCCCGTGATTGCCACCTTCTAGGCCCTGATGAACGACATCATTCGCCCGTTCCTGCGCAAGTTCATGCTTGTGTTTTTCGATGACATTCTAATCTATAGCTCGTCCTAGGCCGAACACCTTCAGCATGTCCACCTCGTACTCGACGTGCTCCGGGCACACCAGCTCCACCTCAAGCGGTCCAAGTGCTCCTTAGGGGCGCCTTCGGTCGCTAACCTCGGGCATGTCATCTCTACAGAAGGTGTCACCATGAATAGCGACAAGGTCGACGCCATTGCATCATGGCCACCTCCGCGCTCAGCTCATGGCCTGCATGGCTTCCTCGGCCTCGTGGGCTACTACCGCAAGTTCATCCATGACTTTGGGTTGATCGCGGCGCCATTCACCAAGCTCTTGTGCAAGGATGCCTTCTCCTGGATGGAGGAGGCTACGGTGGCTTTCGAGGTGCTCAAACTTGACTCGACAACAGGACCGGTTCTCCAGATGCCCGACTTCGACAAGCTCTTCGTCGTTGATTGTGACGCCTCTGGCGCCGGATTTGGGGTTGTCCTCCACCAAGTGGCGGGCCCCCTCGCCTTATTCCGCCACCCCTTTGCTGCCCGGCACCTCAAGCTGGTGGCATATGAGCGGGAATTGATTGGTCTTGTGCAGACTATTCGTCATTGGCGCCTATACCTAAGGGGGCGCCGCTTCCTCGTCCGCACCGACCACTTCGCCCTGAAGTTCTTGCTGGACCAGCGCCTTTCTACCATGTTGCAACACCAGTGGCTCAGCAAGCTCTTCGGCTTCGACTTCACCATGGAATACCGCCTGGGGCGATTGAACATGGTGGCTAATGCTATGTCCCGCCGCGACACCGACACTGCCGTGCCAGACGCCGAGGCGTTCGCCATCTTTAGCCCTTCGTTCGCCTTCCTCGACGATGTCCGCGCAGCTACGGCGACCACCGATGACGCACAGCATCTCCTGCGCTAGCTACAGGAGGGCGCGCTGGATCAGCACTAGTGCATGGCTGACAGCCTTCTACATGGGTCGCGGGTCTACATTCCGGCGTATGGCGACTTGCGCCATCAGGCCATCGCCTTGGCTCACACCGTCGACCATGAAGGTGTATAGAAGACGCTGAAGTGGCTTAGTGGTGATTTCTTCATCTCGGGTGACCGTACCCTTGTCCAGGATTTTGTGCGCAACCTGCAGCACGTGTCAATGGAACAAGATGTAAGACCTACAGCCAGCGGGTTTGCCACAGCCCCTCGAGGTTCCGTCGCAGGTCTAGGCCGACATTTCAGTGTACTTCATCAAAGGCTTGCCTAAGGTTAATGGCAAGTATGCGCACTTCATCGCCCTTGGCCACGCCTACACTGTTGCTTCAGTCGTTCGGGCATTCTTCGAGGGCATTGTGCGCCTGCATTGGTTCCCCTCCTCCATCGTCAGCGACCGCGATCTGGTGTTCACAGGTCATGTGTGGCGTGATCTCTTCAAGATGGCCGGTGTGACAATGCGCATGAGCACAGCGATCTGGTGTTCACAGGTCATGTGTGGCGTGATCTCTTCAAAAGCTACATACCTAGAAAAGGCTGAACAACTTATAATTTGGAATGAGAAGGAAGTACATTTTATAGGTCAACCCTATATAATCTTATGTTTGCAACACAAACAATAGTTGAACTTTATTATGTACATCAAGGTAGTACAAGCAAGTGGAAATCGTTCAGGGATTGAACGTGCTGGACAACTTGAGCTTCCTAACCAAATATCTGTGATCTTGCAAAGATGATAGCATGATTGGACAATCACGGGTGCAGCCATTAGTTTTCAATAATAACGGTGGTGTTGATTGCTTTTCTTTCTGAATCCAGTAGTCGATGACTGAGCCCTGCAATTGGGCAGGCGCATGCGCAATCCATGAGACAATGAACTCATTGTTACCACTTGTCCATCCCTGAACCGGAACCTTCTTGTCCCTCCGTTGCTTACGACATTGTCCAACTTTGTCTATCCTAGTGGTTGCTCTGCATGAGGTCTTCTCGACCCGAAAGTATGCGCTGCCATGCTTGGATTTCCACAGCATCTGATACAAGGTAGCTGCCACATTCCTGCGAAGGCAATCTACTGCTTTTGGCCTCGTAATCTCACCCAGCTGTTCGAAGGAAATGTTTGGATACATACCATGTTGTTTGGCTTCATCATTGATTATCTCTAATGCTCAGTGGCGGATGCACGATGCGGGATAAGGAGGGCTAAAACAATGGAGATGTTGATTTGCATGAAGATTTAATGGTAAAATCTAGCTTTTGCTACAGTGATTAGTGGTGAAATCAAGCCATTAGGGGGGGCTGGAGCCCCCCCTTTGGATCCGCCCCTGCTAATGCTGACCCACCGACAGCAGGTGGCAAATCTTCAGAAGAGGCATGAGGCCAGAAGTGTGCTCCAAGTTTCAGATATGGAAAATCTCTCGTGTGGCTTTTTTGGCTTTCACCATCGACAATTGTCCTCTGCCTGTTGTTGCCAGCTGACAGTGCGACCTGTCCTAGCAGAAACACTTGGATAATAGGTTCCAAGTATATATCACTTGGTAATGATTCTGAATAGGGGCTCTGAACGTGAGGATGGTCTTGTTGTCGACAACAAAATAGGTTTGGTCGAAACCATTTGGAACACATGGTATGGAGATTGTTCCGTTGTTCATCATAGCCATAAACTGTATAACCATCGAACACCCAGCACAAGTCTTGCATTGGTACCTGGGTTAGCTTTGTCTTCACAATCTCGGTCGTTGAGTTCAAGTACGGTATGAAACGCTGAAAGCATCTGATTGCAACCCCAACTATGTCAATACTCTCAGAGAGCCGTAAGCTGTGGGCAAGAATGAAATTATTCTACGGGGTATTGCCATCTTCAAGTGTGAATATTAGGCTACCCTCCATCCCATTGTTGGGTGGACTAAAGGGCTGCAGAATAAGTGAGAGATGTTGGCCCCCACGAACAAAGAAATACTTTGCTCCTTTGCCAGCGAGAAGATGGTGTATAAGAGGCACGGAGAAAATGTATCTGCATGGTGTGCCACCAAGCCCGATGTACCTCAAGAACTCGCTCGCACCATCAGCAAACTGCTCAAATCGCCAGACGGCGGTGGATCCTCTTAGCTCTTCATCGTTACCGCTGCTAAACATTGACGAAACAAATGACATGGCAGTATGAACGACCCTTTTAGGAAAGGAGGAGCTCTGTAGCCCTTGTTTCACTTCTTCTTCTTCTTGCAATCGCTGCCTGCACCGACGCAAAGTGCGGTCGCACTCCTGTGTGGCACGCTTAAGCTTGCTCTGCCAGCGCAGCAGTGGCGCGCTGCTGATGTTCCACTTGTGGGATGTCTCAAGGGCAGCTTCTAGCTTGATGTGCGCCATCTCCATCCTCTCTATGTGCTCCTTTGCATCTGACTTCTCCGCGTAACCCTCCTTGATTCTTGATAAGACTTCGTTAACAGCCTCCTGGGCCAGTGCAGAACTGACCATCTCTGCTGCCATTAAGATTGATCAGAGCAACCTGTAGAATCGGTTGTCCTGCATGCACAAAAAGAAAGCAAAATATTGCATACATATATGAGTCAGATTGTTCCTGTTCATCAGTCTAAAATCTACGATTGATCCTGTAAACTGCAAGTGCGGAGAGGAAATCAAAACCTGGCGTTGTTGAACACTTGCACTAGCTGTAGGGTCTCAGACACAAGAGTTGGGGAATCTATCCTGCCCAAACTGGCCAGTCACTGCTGGAAACCCATCCTTTGCCGAGGGCTTCTGGGTTTGCCGAGGGCTAGATCTCGGGCACTCGGCAAAGACTATTTGCCGAGGGCTAGCCCAGGAGCCCTCGGCAAAGATATGCCCTCGGCAAAGAAACGGCCCTCGGCAAAATAAATCTTTGCCGAGGGCCTAGCCCTCGGCAAATTGGCCCTCGGCAAATATGGCCGGATGGGTCACGGCGGCCACTGGCGTCAGTCTTTGCCGAGCCCCCGCCGTCATGCACTCGACAAAGATTTTTTATTTTTTTTTAAATTTTCTTTGCCGAGGGCCATTGGCCAAGCCCTCGGCAAAGATCCCCTTTGCCGAGGGCCAGGCTAGGCCCTCGGCAAAGATTTTTATTTTTTAAATTTTTTTTTTGCGAGGGCCATTGGCGAGCCCTCGGCAAAGATCCCCTTGAGGGCGAGGCTAGGCCCTCGGCAAAGATTCCCACAGGTTTTTGAACCCAGTTTTTTTAATGGTGCTATAATACATTATTTAAAACTCAATTTTAAAATTTGGGCCAATTTTGACTTTTTCGATATATTTCCCTAATTTATTTCTTTTCGTTGATTTTTTCGAATATTTCAAATTTGGACTACAGGTGGATGGAATAATGCAATTTAGTGATTGAAAAATGTTATTCATGGTATTTGGTGAGTATTTAGTGACTCACATACACCAAATACCATGAATAACATTTTTGAATCACTAAATTGCATTATTCCATCCACTGCAGATTCAAATTTGAAATATTGAAAAAAATCAACGAAAAGAAATAAATTAGGGAAATATATCAAAAAAGTCAAAATTGGCACAAATTTTAAAATTGAGTTTTAAATAATGTATTATAGCACCACAAAAAACTGGTTCAAAAACAAAAAAAATCTTTGCCGAGGGCCTAGCACTGGCCCTAAACAAGGGATCTTTCTTGAGGGCTGGCCAATGTCCTCGACAAAAAAAATTAAAAAAAAAAAAAACTTTATCGAGGGCCCTAGATCTAGGCCCTCGGCAAGGGCCCAACCCTAAATCGGCCAGCGGCCTGGCCCGAAATCCCCGCCCACATTTCCGTCGCCTCTGCTCGCCCCCGCCGCCGCTCAGTGCTCAGCGCCCGCCCGCCCGCCCCACCACCACCGCCGCCCAACCTCCTTTCGCCCTGCGCGCCGCACCAGTGCCGCCCAGTGCCACCCATGCCGCCGCCCCACCTCCCAGAGGCGCGCGGCCTCCCGCCTCCCTCCCATCTCGGTCGAGCAGGGGGCTCGGCCCGCCCGGCCGGCCCTCCGATGGCCCCCACGCTAGCCTCCCCCCCCCCTGCCTGCCCGGCCTTCCGCCTGCCCGGCCTTCCCAGCCCCCCCATGGCCTTCTGCCGCCTGGCCAGCCCTCCGGCGGCCCCCCACGCCGACCTCCCGCCCGACACCGCCCCAGACCGCCCCGTGTGCCTGCTGTTGGAGGGGGAGGCGAAGGTGAAATGGGAGGAAGAAGAGAAGGAGAAGAGGAGAAGGAGGAAGGGAAGAGAAGGAGAAGAAGAGGAGAAGGAGGAAGAGGAGAAGCGGAGAAGAGAGAAGGGAAGAGGGGGAGAGGAGTACTCCGACGCCGCTCGACCTCGCCGGAGAAGAAAGTGACCCCCGCACCACGACGCCCGACTCCACCGCAACCCTAGGTAAAACTCTCATTGTCGGCCTTCGTGCCGTATGTGGTTGTGTGGGCCTTCGTGCCGTAAATTGATATGAGGGCCTTCGTGCCATTGTGGTTGTCGGCCTTCGTGCCGTTGTGAATGTCGGCCATCCTGTCGTTTTTGCATGTTTTGGAAACCTCCCGTCTTTGGGGAGGTGCTTGCCAAAGTTTGAACAAACAATAACCTATTGCCTTTTTATGCGGAGGAGAAGAGCACGTCGGAGGGACCGGAGGACCCGATCGTCTTCGTCGGTGTCGCGGTTACTGCTCAGCGCTGCGCCGCCTTCGCCCGCTGCGTCGACTCACCACTTGCCCCGCTAGCCTGACTTCACCGACACCCTAGGTATAAATAACCTCTTTTTCCGCATATGCTGTCGTAGCCCTTGGCGTAACACGATTAAGCGTCTCCGTCCGAAAGAGATATGGTCGTAGGTATGCGGATCTTTGCATATCTGCGACCGTATCTATTTAGGATTGTCCACATTTTTTGGACAGCCCGCGGATGCGTAGATGGGTTAGTTTCCATGGTTCGCTCCGGTCCGAGACAGAGTTTCAGCATCACCTCCTTGTTGTTCTCCGGATACACACTCTCCCTTGCGGGGCGTGTATCGGGAGAAGCAATGAGAGAAGTGCTTCAAAATACTGTCTCGGAGAGAGCGAAGCTCGAGCCTGACCTCATCTACGCATCCGCTGGTGGATTAGGACCTATCCTCACCTATTAGACATTAGGAACACCACGTAGATGCAATTGATGGTCACAATACTACTGTGTGATGTAAATGTTAAAGGATGGAGGACCGTCGATTGGATGTACATAAATTTGGAGAAGCGGGGGTGACTATGACTATGAATGGGTGAAGGGACGGATCGTTTCTTGATACATGCATTTGGCCCAGGAGGCGGGAGGACATTCTCTAGTTTGGTGTCCCTGCAGCAAATATGACAACAGGAGAAAGGTAGAGCGAGAAGACCATGGGTAGACATCTTGTGTTCAATGGTTATCGCCTAGCTACCAGTGATGGATCTACCATGGTGAAGCGAGATCATATAACGGTGAGTCGGTGGAGAGCACGCCTCGAGGCTTTTGATGATGATCTTTGGGGTAGCGAGACATGCTAGATGGCGCCCACCAAGCTCACTTATTTGAGCAGCGTGAGAAGGAGGAGATGGAGGAATCCGCAAAGGACTTCTACAAAATGTTGCACTTTCGGCACGAAACCCCTTCACGGCGTACAGCGATTTCTCGGTGGATGAGGTTGGACGCGTAATGGGTTGAAGGCGAGTTAAACTGAGTCGAGAAGGCTTCGATAAGATGTTGGCCGTGTTTGGCACCATGCTATCGGAGAAGCACACTTTGCCTTAAGCGAACTTGTGCGAGGCGGAGAAACTCCTTCGTATGCTTAAGATGTCGTATGACAAGATACATGTTTGTCCGAAGAGGTGCATCCTATTTAGGAAAGAACACAAGGATGCAAATTCTTGTCGAAGTGTAAATCCTCTAGGTACCTAGAGGTAGACTCGTGATGGTCGAGAAAAAGCGACTTCCGATCCCGCGAGAGTGCTATGGCACCTTCCTTTCCGCCGAGGATCCAAGCGGCTATTCATGATCAAGGAATCCAAAAGCAGATGACATAACACAAAGATGGCAAAGCGGTACAATCACGGGAAGATGGTACATCCCGTCGATCTTTGAAGCATGGACGTACTTCAATGACAAACATCGTGACAAAGCAGCTGAGGTCCGTAATGTACGTGTCGCGCTGGCAACAGATGGGTTCAATCCTTATGGAATGATGGCTGCCCCATACACATGCTGGCCCGTTTTTGTTATCCCCCTCAATCTCCCTCCCGGCATCTCCTTTCAACGGCATAACGTATTCTTGTCGTTGATAATTCCTGGACACCCGGGGAGTAATATGGGTGTGTTCATGGAGCCTGTGATTGATGAATTGATCCACGCTTGGGAGAAGGGGGTATGGACATACGACCGAGCTACAAAGACAAGCTTCAAAATGCACGTTTGGTACCACTACTCCCTGCATGACTTCCTGGCGTATGGGTTATTTGCCGCCTGGTGTGTTCACGGGAAGTTCCCATGCCCAATATGCAAGGAAGCTGTGAGGTTCATTTGGTTAAAGAAGGGTGGCAAGTATTCATCGTTCGACCAGCATCGTCAGTTGCTCCCTCTAGACCATGAATTCAGAGACACTGACAAGTCTAAGGACAACGTTAAGGCTAGACTGGACCTAGCGACGTTGTGCGATAGAACGAATCAAGCGATGCAGCCTCCTAGTGGCTGAAACAAGAACTGGAAAAGGCCTAAGGTCAATTTCGTCTTGCAAATCGATCAAAGGAGGGAAGTACTAAAATGGATCCAGACGTTAATGTTCCTAGATGGATATGCAGCGAATCTTAGCAGGGGAGTGAACTTAGGCACTCTGTGAGTCAACGGGATGAAGAGTCATGACTACCACATATGGATTGAGCGGCTTCTTCCGGCGATGGTCCGAGGCTATGTCCCTGAGCATGTTTGGCTAGTGTTGGCAGAGTTGAGCTTTTTCTTCTGCTAGCTTTGTGCCAAGGAGATATCTCGGACCGTCACTCAGGACTTGGAAAAAGCAGCACCTGTGTTGCTCTATAAGCTAGAGAAGATCTTTCCACCCAGCTTCTTCTTGCCGATGCAGCATCTGGTTGTGCACCTCCCGTCCGAGGCATGTTTGGGGGGCCCGTGCAGGCCCTGTTGGTGCTATCCAATCGAGAGATGTCTAAAGACTCTTCGCAAAAAATGTACAAATAAAGCTAGAATTGAGGCTTCCATTGTAGAGGCATTCCTTCGGGAGGAGGTGGCAAACTTCACAACGCAATACTACAAGCCGAACCTTCCTAGCAATCATAATCCACTCCCTCATTACAATGCTGGCGAAAATGAATCGACCTTCAGCCTTTTCCAAGGCCAACTCGGCAGTGCAAGTGGATCAACCCCGAAGCTATTGGGAAATGAAGAGTGGCGCAGTATCATGCTATATGTGTTGAATAACCTTACCGAGGTGCAGCCGTTCATCAAG